AAGCTTGGGTGAGCCCTGCTGACGGGCAACACACTGTCACACGGCTCTTTTAGAGGAAGAAGATTAGAAGCTGATGTCAGCTGTCTCCTGGCCCTGATCCCAGGAGACCCATGTCTCCTTCTGCTTTGCTTAATTGCCATCTGTATCCTTGTAACAAACCATAACCACAAGGATGGTGACATTTCTGTGCTCTGTGAGTCTAGCGAATTATTAAACCTAAGGTTGGTTTTAGGAGTCCCTAACAGTTGGTAACTTCCATTAAAATGTAGCATGCCTCAATACTAACTGAGGTTGCTGTTGAGTGAAGAACACCTCTTTGCTGTTCTTCCAGACAGCAAGCACTGTTTGTAGACTCGTTACAGCCGGACAAAGGAGCATTGCAAGTGAGACAGTAGATATATCACTAGAAAGTGATAAAGGGCTTCCGTGCCCCAGGACCCTTGCACATGCAGTCTCTGCGCCAGGGAAGTTTCTTTCCTTCACAAAACAGATTTGTTCTCATTCTTTGCATCTCAGCTCAGCCTTCTATGAGCAAGCTGCTTACATCAGGTGTTCCCTACAAGAATGTACGCTGATGCATGCATGGAGGGAGGGTTTGTAGTGTGTGCACACAGGGGAATACTATCTAGCTTTGAAAAACAAGTAGGTCTACCATCTACAAGAACACGGATGAAGCTGGAGGACATTGTGGTGAATGAAAGACGCCAGGTGTGGAGGACAAAGACTGCTCAATTTCACTCACGTAGGATCTGAGAAAACCAATCTCAGAAAAACAGAGTAGCATGATATCTATGAGGGGGTGGGGCGTTAGGGAGGGGATTGCTGGGCAAAGGACCAAAAACCTCAATTAAACAGGAGAAACAAGTTCAAGAGAGCTCTTGCACATCATGCTCACTACAACTACCAAAAATGTATTATATTCTTCAAAATCTCTGAGAGCAGATTCTCCACATCCTCACCATACATGTGATAAGTGCATGAGGTGATGGGTGCACTAAATAGAGTGATATAATCATTACACTGTGGTCACCTATATCAAAACATCACACAGTCCCTGTGTAGACACAATTTGTCATTTGCCAATGAAAATAAATTAACCCATAAATAAACTAATAATCCCACCGTCCTAGTCTGTCCCACTTGCACCTTTACCGGTATGTTCCACCCCGCCCTTGACACATGGGAGACACCAAAATGCTGGAATCCAAAAAGATTCCACCAGGATTATGGTCCACACCATGTATATCAACAGACAAGGCCTGTGGTTCCTGTACACCTGACACGTCCTGAAGTCCAAGGACAGGCCATGTGCCACCTCCGCCACGTGCGACCTCCGCCACATGCGATCTCCGCCAGGCTCCTCATCCCCTGCAAGTGACTTGCCTTGGCTTTCACTCTGTAGTGACTAATTCTTTTCACATCCAAGAAGACCTCAGCATCACTAAATATCCCAATTCAGAAGGGAACAAGGACTTCTGCTTCTGTCACCTTTGTCCTGCGTCTAAGCTCCCAGGAGACACGGCGTCTCCTAATGTTCCTGCAGGAGAGAGGGCAGGGACAGGAGATTCTCCAAAGCCAAGAATGGTTTTTTAGTCCTTAAAATACTTGGGAAAATATATCAAAAGAAGAATCCTACTTCACACAGGTGAAAATTATCTGAAAGCCAAATTTCTGCCACCCTAAAAAGAGCCTTGACGTTTAACCAATTTTTTTTAAATGTGTGGAAATGTGTTTTCTCTTCTGTTTATATAAGATATCTACTTCATATGCTGAGTTTGACCTCTGGGGCTGCGGATTTTATGGTAGTTACTATGTAGCTCTTTATAGAAAAATCTGCTGGGCAGATTCTCAAAGGGATATCCACTTTTGTTTTTCACTTAAAACTCTTTCAAATGACTCTGATGAAGTGTCATCAAATAGCAGAAATTGCAAAGTGCCACCCTGATTGGATTTCCCCAATACAGCACCACTAAATTCCCTCAGTGATCTGCAGACATTTTCTTTTGTTTTTTTTTTTCCTTTTATTAAGTCATATACACATGGATCATGAACACATTTATGCATATGTGGGGTACAATGTGTTGATTTTTTTATTTGGAGTGCTTACATCAAACTAATTAATATAGCTTTCACCTCATTTACTTGATTATTGTGTTAAGACATTTATGTTCTGTACTTACTAGATTTGACTTGTATCCTTGCAATATGCTCCATAGGTGTGGTTCCCACTGTTTACCATCCCTCTAACCCGTTGGTTGAAAGTATTCCAAATTGTATAAACAACCCACTGTGCGCTATGATAGTATTAATGTACACAGCTATGACTTAATTTAAAAAAGAGAGAGAGAGAAAACAACAACAACAACAAAAAAACCCTCCCCCCTCCTCTCCCTTACCCCTCCGTTTCTGGCCTTTACGCCGACTTTGTCTATAAAGAGCTACGTAGTAAATACAGTAAGCTTTGCAGCCCCAGAGATCCAACTGAGCATACTAGGTAGATAGCTTTATGTAAACAGGAGCAAAAACACATTCCACACATTAAGAAAATGATTAAGGCTTGGCGCCCATAGCTCAACTGGCTAAGGCGCCAGCCACGTACACCTAAGGTGGCGTGTTCGAATCCCCAGCCCGGACCTGCCAAACAACAATGACGGCTGCAACCAAAAAATAGCCGGGCATTGTGGCGGGCGCCTGTGG